AGCACTAACTCCATTAGAAAAAAAGGTAAAATGGTTCAATCATTTAAATTGACTGCCAACAAACAGCATACCATAATGAGTAATAATGTACAGATCAAGCGGGAATCAAAAGGGTGGCTAACCATAAAAATGATAGACAGAGGGAATAACAGTTCCTGGAAACTGTTCAAAAACAAAAAGCATAAGTGAACACTATACTGCATTTTATACTTCACCTCAACATCGTATTTACAAGAGCAACAAAATGTGATTATCTTGTATGTGCCATTTACATGCAGCATTTGTCTTCAGTTACAGATAGCCTGATCCTGTTACATGCCAATAACTTTTGCAATGATGTGCCAGCTAATCACCTATGTACATGGTACGTTAGGTAATCCCCCACATCATGACATCAGCAGATCCCCTACAAACATAACATCGGCAGATCCCCTACAGACATGACACCAGCAAATCCTCTACATAATAACATTAGAAGATTCCCTACATACACAATATCAGAAGACCCCCTGTTACATGCCATCAGCAGATCTCCTACAGACATGATATGAGAAGATCACCTACATATATGATATGAGAAGATCCCCTAAATATATGATATGAGAAGATCCCCTACATATATGATATGAGAAGATCCCCTAAATATATGATATGAGAAGATCCCCTACATATATGATATGAGAAGATCCCCTACATATATGATATGAGAAGATCCCCTACATATATGATATGAGAAGATCCCCTACATACATGACACCAGCAGATCCCCTACATACATGACACCAGCAGATCCCCTACATACATACATAACATCAACAGATCCACTACATACATACATAACATCAACAGATCCACTACATACATAACACCAGCAGATACTCCCCCACTCACATGATATCAACAGATTACCCCACTTACATGACATTAACAGATCCCCCCCACACATACATAACATCAAAAGTTCCCCCACATATATAACAACAGCAGATCTGCTACTAATATATGGCATGTAGCTCTCTATTTCAATGCTAATGAGGAAAAACAATAGAGCATTTATCCTGGGTTCTATGAACTTTTAAAACTAAAAAAACTACAATTGTAGTTTCCACAGAGACAATCTGACATACCTTGGAATCAAGCTGGATAAGTGGTTCACCTGGAAGCCACACCTGGAGACAAATAATATTCAGTGTGTAGAAAGATTCTCCTTCCTCTTGAGGTTGGCGGACAAATGTTACAAGGCAAACTAACATTTTCTATTAACAAATATTTTGTCTAAGCAAATTTCAGGTCTGTGGGTCTTTACCCTTTCGTCCCATAAAAATCTTTTTAAAAAAACTCATCTCTTCCTAAAACTTTATAAAAAAAAAAAAAGAAACACAACCTTATAATTCTAAGTCTACTTGAATAAACTAAAGTAAGAGAAGAAACAGAAGAAATTTGTCATCTTGGGCATTTTTATAAACATCTAGGCATTAAATCCCTAGACCAACCAGCAGACAGACACGTGCGATCCCCTACGATCAGCGGTCAAATCACTACAATAATTAATACAAATTTTTATTAATTGTTTCTGCACAAATATAATTTTTTGGGGGGAGGGGGAGGAGGAATTAAGTAAGGAAATTTAGTCACTAAATACAAATGTAGCAAACAATTAACTACTTTCCTTCCTTCATATGAGATTATTATGACATAACAATGACATCACAATTGTTTGAAACAAAGTTTTTTTTAAACCCATATCTTTTATTTTTGTTTTTGGGGAGGGTGGTGGGAGGGGATACATGCACACACACAGTAATACGCAACACATCTGTCTACACATTGGAGTTACAGCCAGTACCAAAGCATAGTGGCCACTGACTAAAGACTTCATGTCATCAAAAACCTGGGAAACTTAAAAAAATGGCTTTTCGGGGCGATTTGGTTAACATAAAAAACAACTGCGAGCACTTAATTATAGATTACAAAATACTACAATCACAGACCAATCACAGATGAGCTAAATACAATTTCAACAAAGAACTAACAGTAGAATGCTCATTAACTGTTTCATATACACTGTGAGAGTTCCAAGGTGTTCTCACAGCCATGGTACAAATTAACTATTGACTCTTTTGGTACTAGAGGATAGTTAAATAAGATATACATCAAGATAGAGTGCATTCCTTGGTACTGAAAGTGTTCAGACATACTTCTCAGTCATTGGTCTCCAAGAGTCCTTGACAATCAAGTTCTGCTTGTGTGGGGTTCAGTATAAACTAAGATCATCAATCAGCAAATCCTTTACAGAGCGTCGCTCTCTTCACGGCACGCCTGAAATTATCCCTTTCCCTAGCCAGCTCTCCAGCCCCATGTGCTTTCAATGCCAATGATTCTTCAATGTCTTGTATCCATCTTCGCGGTGGTTGACCTCTGCCTCGCCTTCTACAAATTGCACCTTCCATCACCGTCTTTTCCAAGCCACCATGACGCTTGATGCGACCAAAATACTTCAACTTTCGGGACAGGATGTTGTTTATGAGCCAGTTCTCCTTGATGTTCAACTCGTTTAGAATGTGGCTGTTTTTCCTCTTCCTGATCCAATGCATTCTAAGAATTTTTCTATAACATTTCAATTCAAAAGCTCCAATCTTTTTCCTCAGTGACTGAGTGACAGTCCAAGACTCACAACCGTAAGTTGCCACAGGAAAATTGCAATAGGTTCTTCATGCTATTTAATCTCTGCAATGCTAATGCAAGTCTTCTTCTGACTTCTTTCAAGCAGTCGCCACTGTTGTTCACTAAAGAGCCAAAGTATTCGAAATCTGTTATATTTTCTATTTCTTCATTTTCGATTGTGATACGTGGTTGGTGTGTTGTATTTAATGAGATTTTTTTTTTTTTTTTTTAAATTCTGAAACAGATTCACTTCTTCGCTGTGTTTTTTGATGACTAGAATTAATTTGTCTAAACCTTGTACACTGCTGGAAAGGAGAACTATGTCGTCTGCATATCTGAGTTCTGGGATAGGATTGCCTCCAATTTTTAGTGGATCAAAGCTCTCACATGCCTCATTGCTAACTGCGTTTCTCATAACATTTTCAACATACAAGTTAAAGAGGGAGGGTGAAAGCATGCCGCCCTGTCTCACTCCTTTCTGCACTTCAAACCATTCTGATGTTTCACCAGCTACTCTGACCGCTGCTTGTTGTTCGCGGTAAAGAGATTCCATTAAGTGCACTAGATGATTTGGAAATCCCCTGCCTCTCATTATATGCCATAGTTTATGGTGCTGCAGTCAATCAAATGCCTTGCTGTAGTCTATGAAACAAGTACGAAGATCTATCTTGTATTCTCTACACTTCTCCAGGATGATTCTCATATTGAAAATATGATCTCTTGTTCCCCTGCCACGTCTGAAGCCCGCTTGTGTTCCTTGTAGTATTCCAATTTATTCTCAATCCTCCTCAGAATGATATGCAGAAGGATTTTGCTGGCATGACTAATTGGAGCTATAGTACGATAATTGTTAAACAATTTGAGATTTCCTTTTTTCGGCAGGGGAATATAGACTGATCTTTTCCATGCTTTGGGCCAGTCAGCACTGTTCCAGATTTTCACACATAGTGCATGGTATACAATTACACTGGCTTCTCCTTCAGACTGAATTAACTCTGCTGGTATGTCGTCACATCCCGGAGATTTGTCTGATTTCAGGTTCCTTATTGCTATTCCTATTTCCTCGAATAGAGGTTCAGGCTCTTTTTCTTTGATTTCTTCTGTACTATCTGGCATGTTTTTTGAATCTGAGTACATTTTTCCACAATACTCCTTCCATCTTTCAAGTATTTCTTTGCTCTCTGTCAAGGCGTTGCCATTTTTATCATTTATTACATTCAATGAAGGTTTAAATTTTGTTGGTAATGTTTTGACCTCTTTGAACATTTCTCTATCCCTTCCCTTTTGCTGGAGATGCTCTATTTTGTTGCATGTCTTGATTACAAATTGCTTCATGTCTTCTCTGATCACATTTCTCACTTTCTTTTTGTGGTTTTTGTACACTGTGTTGCTGTTTTTTGTCCTTGTTTTTGCAGTTTTCTTCTTTCTTCAATTAGCCTCAAAGTTTCTTCTGTGAAGTATTCCTGTTTATTATATACTTTCCTAGGTATCATATTTTGCGCTGTCGTAATGATTATGTCTCTTGCCTGTGAGGCTAGTTCATCAGGTGACATTTCTTCCTGAACTGCCATCAAAATCTCAAACCTATTTTTCCCTTCCACACAAAACTCGGGTGGCATGGGCGTTAGATGAAAACGAACTGGATGCAGCCTCTTTTTTTTTAGTTTAAACTTGAGATTCGCCATGAGCAATTTCTGGTCTGTATCACCATCAGCGCCGGGTAGTGTTGTTGCGGATGTTATGCATCTCTTCCATCTCTGCTGTGTCATGATGTAGTCAATTTGATTTTTGTAGTTTCTATCAGGTGTTGTTTAAAAAAAAATACTATTTGCAATGACAAGACTATTTTCTATGCAAAAATCGAATAATTTCTAACCATTCTCATTCCTCTCTCCTATGCAGTGTAGACCTCGCACCTTTTCTACCCTTTCCTGTCTCTCTGCACCTATTTTAGCATTCAAGTCTCCCATAATTATCACAATATCTCTTTTCTAAACTGAGACCAAACAAAATTATACCTAGTTGTAGCAAATGACAAGCATCTTTGATCCGTTTGACAAAAATTGATTTAAAAGGAATTAGAATGAAAAAAGATAATGTCTTGGGTTTTAAAGGCTGAACAAGCAATTCAGGTGGCAACAAAACAGGTGGTTAAATAAATATGTAGAATATATTTAGACAGCATAGAAAGCCTTGTCTTGGTGATTTATCTTGAATGGTAGACGGCTGCATTTTTCTCAGCAATGTACAAGTAGATAAATGTCTAAATTGTATATCCAACAAAACTGCATCAAAAATATGTCCCATGAAGACAAATACAAAAACACGAGAGAAAGATGTCAGTGACTACAATAAATAGCAACAAACTGATAGGATATCATCTTCAATTGGGTGGAAAATTCTACTGCAGCAGGTGGAAAAGTCTACAGCAGCAGGTGGAAAAGTCTACTGCAGCAGGTGGAAAAGTCTACAGCAGCAGGTGGAAAAGTCTACAGCAGCAGGTGGAAAAGTCTACAGCAGCAGGTGGAAAAGTCTACTGCAGCAGGTGGAAAATTCTACTGCAGCAGGTGGAAAAGTCTACAGCAGCAGGTGGAAAAGTCTACTGCAGCAGGTGGAAAAGTCTACTGCAGCAGGTGGAAAAGTCTACAGCAGCAGGTGGAAAAGTCTACAGCAGCAGGTGGAAAAGTCTACTGCAGCAGGTGGAAAAGTCTACAGCAGCAGGTGGAAAAGTCTACAGCAGCAGGTGGAAAATTCTACTGCCGCAGGTGGAAAAGTCTACTGCCGCAGGTGGAAAAGTCTACAGCAGCAGGTGGAAAAGTCTACTGCAGCAGGTGGAAAAGTCTACTGCAGCAGGTGGAAAAGTCTACAGCAGCAGGTGGAAAAGTCTACTGCAGCAGGTGGAAAAGTCTACAGCAGCAGGTGGAAAAGTCTACAGCAGCAGGTGGAAAAGTCTACTGCAGCAGGTGGAAAAGTCTACTGCCGCAGGTGGAAAAGTCTACTGCCGCAGGTGGAAAAGTCTACTGCAGCAGGTGGAAAAGTCTACTGCAGCAGGTTGAGAGGAAGTTGTAGAAAGCAGCATCAACCTGGCAGGAAATCCTCTGCTTCAAGACTGCATCAACTACAGTTTGTGAATTACACAGGAAGTCATTACAGTGAGAAGCTGCTAAGCTTGTAAACCAGTAAACATAAACTATACTGCCTATTGGTATCAATTATTTGCAAAAACAAGAAGTTCATTAGAAATTCTTTAGTGCATTGATCTGTACATCAATCTCCCATATGCTTACAATCATTTCAAAGACTGAGAGCTTGATGAAAGCTGATATGTCAGCGATAATTTAAAAAGCCACTTATTCTATGCATTTCATTTAGGTCTTGGGGATTAAGCTGTTGGCTTCATGCTCATTCTGTTCTTAAATGCAAATTTACAGAGATTCTCAGGGATCGTCGCTGTATAAAAAAAACTGTTGTTCTCCCAAAGAATCAGGCAATATATAAAAAAAAAAAACATTTGTGATGACACAGTGACCTTATTTCATGCTAACCAACCTCCTAGCGATAATCGGGTTCCCTACCTGAAAGTACTAAATTAACACAGTTTACATAGTCACATGGTACCACTAACACCGATAACAGCCCGCAGCCAACCACATCAACAATACACGGGAAAAGTCATTTCTTTAATCGTGCATCAGTCTATTTATTGGGACGAACACAGAATGACGATGAAAATGAACTGGTGATACATGGGTTCTGTCCATCTAAAGCTCTGTCTATACCCACTGATAAGCTTCCAAGGCGGTGTCACATGAAAGGGCACACCTAACCTCGACTTGATGTTGATTCCACAACATATGCTTTCAGCCTACAGGCCCCCTCCTGGGGTCACCGATAGCCTTAATGAATGCTTCAGTTGTGTGCCCAAACTTTGGGTCACCAATAACCTGTACATAATAACTGATTAGAGACTCTGTCTCAGGTACACCAAGTCTTTCGACACACCGTCAAATCAGAATCCTCACGAGGCACGACAGGATCACATTCTCCACCACAACTCACGGCTCGACTTCTGTCAATCATAGTGGCAAATAACATGTGGGGGTCTCAACAACTTGCCTCCACAAAATATGCATACTGGGAGCATTGTGACTCTAAACTTTCACTGGACTAAAATGATATACACAATTACTGCTAAAAATTCACAGACATCAGGACATGCTTCAGCCCTATCTGAATGACTGAAAGACACTGACTAGACACCTACGGGCCAACCGTTAGCTCAGCACTCTGCCCCCCCTCCCCACATGGTTCTCGCTAAGGGCGAGCAAACCAATGTTAGTCGTGAATCTCCAGAAACACCTCTTTCACAACTTCGTACACATCGTGGGCCTTTGCACTCGCCCCTCATCTCAAGCAACATGGACCTTTTTGCCTATGTCTCTGTTACCACTATCATCCCGTGCCATTATGACTGGCGATCATGCCTCTGACCAGCCCAGTGAATTCAGCACGCAACAGTGGTGCTAGGTGTTGCATGTGCATTCGCAACACAGAAACAAAATGGTGACTGTTCTTACGGATTGTACCCACAAAGAACAACATGCGGTTGTGTGTTTTTCTGGGGGGTTGGCAAGAAAGCATGCATTGAAAGGACATTTATAAGGAATGCTTCCTGTTTATGCTGATAAATGTTTATCCCCTAAAGCAGTGCATAGCTGGATAAAACAAAAAAATTCCCAAGGACGCTTTAAAATTGTTGATGAAGTCCGATCTGGTCATCCTGTTGAGACTGCATCCATGCAGCGGGTAGAGGAGAGGATTAGAGGGGACAGGCGAGTAATGGTTGATCCTGTAGCAGCTGCATCACGGTTCAGCATACAACATATTGCATGATCGATTGCAATTGAAAAAGTAGTGGGTACCCAAACAACTGACGGACAAACACATAATGCGTGCATCACTACCAGCCCGAATCAAAGCATGCTTCAATACGATGGATCCTTCTTCGCCTTGTGACAAAAAAATTCCAGGTTACACCATCAGCAGGCAAGGTTATGCTGAGTGTTCTTGGACTGTCAAGGAGTGCTTCTAACCAGTTTAAAAAAAAAAAAGGTGACAATGTGTATTCTGATTTATACTGTAAAGTTCTACTGATGCTTCATGATGCAATTTGAAGAAAATGTCCAGGTCTGCTGACTAAAGGAGTACTGCTCCTTCATGACAATGCTAGACCACGTATGGCTCAGTTAACTCAGGAGAAAATTAACCATCTAGGGTGGGAACTTCTGGAACATCCATCTTACACCCCGACTTAGCCTCTAAAGATTTCCACCTTTTTAGTCCACTGAAAACCCAGATTAGTGGGAGAAATTTACGAATGACGCAGAAGTTAAATATGAAATGAAAATGTGGTTTAGAAAACAGAGCATGCAGTTATATGCAGCAGATTTGGGAGGACTGATAAAATGATGGGACAAGTGCATCAATGTTGGTGGAAATTATGTTGAAAAATAAAGAGACAGTGTACTTGTAAAAATAAACGGTTTTCAAATTGTTTTCACCTTGAGTTTTTTTTTTTTAAAGCAAGCATTTGTGACTCTTACTTATTGACTCCCCAGTGTGTGTGTGCGCTCGCGCGCGCACGTAAGCGCATGTGACTGTGTGTTTGTGTGTGTGTGTGTATGCGAATAAATAAAATACCTGAGAACGTGAAGATTTCTGACTGCAGGACAAAGCATCATCTGTTGTTAGCATTGCCTCCATATGACTTGTTGCTGGTTGCAAGGTTCTGTGTATTCTTTGAGGACTTGACCCGCCAGCAATAGTAGGAATCCCATTCTGTTCTCCCACCTCCCATCCACTGATCCTTGTCTGTTGGATCTGCTGCTGACGTGCAGCAGCCAGTACATTTGGATCTAGAACATCAAAACTTTTCTGCCGTCTCGCCTAAATGAAAATGAACCATTCAGCACTAAAATAATGGTTCATGCTGGTCACTTAATAAAGCTCGTATTTCTAAGCAAGTGTCTTATTTTTTTTAAAGTAACAGATTTATGACAACTGTTGATGTTTGAATGACTAAAGGACTATTATCACCACATAGTGTCTCTGTGACTGGCATGGGCGGTCATGCCTACCTACGTATTGTCTCTGTGACTGGCATGGGCGGTCATGCCTACCTACATATTGCACTTTTCAACAAAACATTTAAATTTATGTTATGACACCTATACCACGAAAAAAAAGCCACCAAGAATCTTCTTTTGTTGTTTTCCTTAACCTGTTGTTTTCCTTAATCTGTTGTTTTCCTTAATCTGTTGTTTTCCTTAATCTGTCTTTCTACAGTTTTTCACTGTCAATAATATGCTGCAGTTTTTTCTTTAGCATGGGGCAAAATAATTACGCCTGCCTCTTTATAATGTTGACAATTACATTATCTTAGCCTCTTACAATTCATTTAGATTACTAATTTTTGCTATATTTTTTTGTTACTTGTAAGTTTCTGAAATGAGTTTCTCATAGAAGAGAATGATACTGGATAGGTTCAGGTTGCCAGGTTGTCTGGTATCTATTTTACTGCATTGCTGAGGTGCACATTCAGGACAGCCACCAGAGGGATATATCTCCGTCTGAGGTCAAATGGCAATATTTTTCATTAGTCCAGGCTACGTGCAAGGATGAAAGTGCACACAAGATGCCTCAGGGATGCTCTTTTTGCAGATGATGCAGCCACTGCAGCATATACAGAGGCTGATCATCAGATCCCTCATGAATCGCTTTGCCAAAAGCATGGAAAGAATTTCGGCTTACCATCAGTCTCCACGAAACGCAAGTGGTGGGAATGAATGTTGAAAACCCACAAAACCTTAGTGTTTATGACCATCAGCTGTTGGCTGTAGATGAGTCTGAGTACCTAGGCTGGCGAGACTCGAGTGATTATCCCCTAGATGCAGAGACAAATACTGGTATCGGAAAGGCCTCGGCAATGTTTTCAAATCTCACTATGAGAGTCTGGTTACACGAAAAGCTGACTGATAAATATTGCATTTAGACAATACTAGAAAGAATAGATGAAACAGTCTTCCATTGAATTCTCATTCTTCAAAAATTCTGTTCATGTCTGAAAACAAGCAATACATAATAGAAACAAAACAGAAAACAACCTACAAGCACCTAGTCAAACAACCATATACAACCTTTAAATTATAAGAGGACAAACATACTCAAAAGATAACATCAACACCATCACTAATTTACACAAACTATACATCACTCCAAAAGCAAGAGAAGTAATATACACAAATTTACACCATGTCACCACAGCAGCGTATAGAATCAAACACACACAGTATCAAGTATGTATGGAAAACATCCAAGAACTACCGGAACACACAACATTTGAGAAGTCACAGCAGCACACAAGCTTTACAGTATTAATTAAACTGATGGAGTTTGTTCTCTCTTAATTCTAAGATGTTCTGGAGATGTTTGTCAGTTGCCCACACATGCATAACTGGGTTTTATAATGTCAGCTATCTGAAATCATGGCTGCTGATGCAAGTTTATAAATATCAATTCTATTTTTTGAGTGAACAAAGTCATTACTTAATATTATTTTACCTGAGCTGGAGCAGGGTGAGTGATCGGAGTGGAGACACCTGACGTAGAAGCTGAGTTGGGCAGTGACGGAGATGGTGACTGTCCTTGACTTGCAATATCTGAATTGATGCTCTCACTTGATGGGGAGTCACTCATATAATGGGATGTTCTATGTTTCAAATGACATCGACTTCGCACTTCTTCTGATACTGAGACCAAGGCTGAAATTGAAAGTTTATGTACTTTAATCACATGGATTTTCTTGTGTTTTGCACATTTTGTCAACTGATGCTTTTGTCAGAATTTCAGATGGTCAAAACTGCAAATGTAGACCCATCAAAATAGCTGAGCTCTCTTATTGAACAAATGGGTATCAATAAACAATTAATCCATGAGTAATGAAATGAGTCAGGTTATTTTTACAGCATTCTGGATATATCCTTAGGTGTTCAGACTCCTGCTTTAACATATACATCAGCATCACACACAAGGTTAATAGTGCAAGTCCTATGATGGTCGACAAGACCAAGTTGTGTGTTTCTCTTGTCATTGCAGTGCTGATCTTTACTCCCAATTTCTCCCATTCTTAGCAGCGATGTGCTACTCCCAAACTTTTCCAATGACATTAACAATGCTGGCATGATCCATAGGCCAGCCAACTGCAACTAAGGCAGCCAGTCTATCAGCTCTTTACTTGCTAACAACAGCCACATACCCTGGGACAAAGACAAAGGTAACTGCATGCAGTGGAGATTTGTAATGACTCAGTCCCCCCCATCTGGGTATACAGACTTTTGTGACGCGACTTATAATGAATCTATATTAGAAGAGGAGAAATACTGACATCTTGAAAGATCTGAACAACAAGGAAGATTAGCTAATAAACAGCATCCTGTCTCGGAAGCTGATACATTTTGGTCATATCAAGTGCCATGAAAGACTGGAAAAAATTATAGCAGAAGGCATGGTACCTAGAAGGAGGGGCAGGGGCCGACCAACACGAAGATGGGCACACGATATAAGTGACGCCTTGAGTATGAAAGTGCATGAGGTGGGAGAGCTGGCGAGAGACCGAGTTTCTTTCAGAGAGACCGTGATGAGAGCAACGTTCTGCAAAGGATCTGATACATGATGATGATGATGATATAAGTTTCTTCTGATATTTAAAGCAAAATGAACAATCTTTTTCTTCAGCATTCAAAGCCCTTTGAGTTTTATTGCTGTAGATATAACCCGCCTCCAATCTTCTCTCTGGTTGGCCTTCTCTTTCCAGTTGGTGACACTAAGTGTGTGTAGGTCTGTCTGGTTGTTATCTCTCCATCATCTTCCTGGCCTGTCATTTTCTCAAAATTGCTCAGCCATTTCAGTTTATTAGCTCTCATGATGCCAGTAATCAATGGTGGTTTAAACAGATTATGAATTTCGTTATCGCTTCTCACCATTTTCTGCTGTTTGCATCTTTGATGGGTCCAACGATTTATCCTAAAACTCTGTCACATGACTGCCAGGTTTGTTTATGTATTTTTTGTGTGAAATCTGGTACTCCTTACATGTAGTCCTCTGGCAATAAACAATACTTCTCTGACATCTGACATGATATCATATTTGTTCCCTCACATGCTGTGTGTGTCACATCTTTCTCTAATATAGTGAAACAATCTGACAAACTATATCTGTGATACTATTTCAACAATCTGACAAACTATATCTGTGTTACTTTTTAAACCAACTGACAAACTATACCTGTGATACTATTTCAACCATTTGAAACACTATATCTGTGATACTATTTCAACCATCTGTCAAACTATATCTGTGATACTATTTGAACAATCTGACAAACTATATCTGTGATACTATTTCAACAATCTGACAAACTATATCTGTGATACTACTTCAACAATCTGACAAACTATATCTGTTATACTATTTCAACCATCTGACAAACTATATCTGTGATACTATTTCAACCATCTGACAAACTATATCTGTGATACTATTTCAACAATCTGAAAGACTATATCTGTGATACTATTTCAACAATCTGACAAACTATATTTGTGATACTATTTCAACCATCTGATAAACTATATCTGTGATACTATTTCAACCAACTGACAAAATATACCTGTGATACTATTTTAACCATCTGACAAACTATATCTGTGATACTTTTTAAACCATCTGACAAACTATATCTGTGATACTTTTTAAACCAACTGACAAACTATATCTGTGATACTTTTTAAACCAACTGACAAACTATATCTGTGATACTTTTTAAACCAACTGACAAACTATATCTGTGATACTTTTTAAACCAACTGACAAACTATATCTGTGATACTATTTCAACAAACTGATTAATCACTCAACTATTCTGCGATGTAGCTAAATATACTATAACATCTTAAATGTGAAAAATCTCCCTGTCTCTCTTTCCGTCTATCTTTCCTACATACTTCAATTTTTTTTTTTTTCTCTCAAGAGGCTCAAAAGAAAGTGGATTGTCTCTTCTGATGCAAAGAGTCAGTTCTCTATGTTAGTTAATTTCTTCCTAGACATTTTCATGCCCGCAGGCCTACCCACAAATTTAGTTCAAAAGTGTATGCCTTACCTGCTAAATAAGGAACTGTCTGAGATGTGACCTCAAACTTGTCTCTGTTTGTTGGCTTGACAGTGATGCTTAATAACTGGTGAAGTACTCTGATTGTGCGAGACACAGTTGTTGGTGCTGGGTGCCGAAAACCTGAAACATATTTTCACATTTACACCAACCTTATTAAACAACAACATCCCACATCTATTATTGCCATGAGTTAATCTGTTAACATTTCTCTTGCGTATAAAACAATTGCTACGCCGCAGCAGTATCATAATTTCCTAATTAATTTTGCAAATAATGTGAAAGATGAGTTAGGTGAACACAGCTTCCCTTGCAGGAACTTCCTGTTGTTCGTTCTGAGTACACATTGGGTTGAGGAGGGAAACTATTTGTCTCCTCCCTGATGTTTCCTCTTCCCCAGTTGACTTTTAGAATGACGCCAATACAGTGGTACATTGGGATTTCAGCATAATAAGTTCTGAGATGGCGTTAAATTCTAAATCGTTCAATTTCCAAGGCAATTTTTTCCATTGACAATAATGGAGACTAAATTAACCAGTTCCAGTGTCCAACAAACTCCAAAGAACCCAAAGAACCAACAATATTTCAGACTAAGAAAATGAATGCAAAGAGTTCCATAAAACTGTAGGTGACAGATAAAAATTTTAACAAAGAAGAAAGAGTATCTGCTATGGGGAATTTAATACAAAACATAATGGAGCATTTATTCAATATTAATGGCCAGGCTATATTGTGGCCCCTGGCAAAAGCCAGAGTAGGGCTTCAAAAAACGAAAAATTTCATCCTAAAAAGGACGAGAAGTTAAGTGTGGCTGTGTTGACTTAGTCACGGGGAGCAAAGTAACCTTGTGAGATTATTTTGCAGTCACAATTTTGAAAAATACCGACAATAATGTGGCAAATCTAGTTTTGGTATATTTAGTCTTACCAACCCTGTCTATACAATATACAGTCACAGCAGTAGTAAATCTGTTTTACAGGTGTAGTGGTCACTGCCCCAAGGATTCACGTCATCACAAACCCACAAATGTAGAGAGAAAAAAAAACAATTTTCCAGGGGCAACCGGGTTAAAATATCACAAAAGCAGCAAAAGAAAAAAACTGTACCTTTAAGTAAATGTCCCACCAAAGCAAAGTTGAAATTAGTCTGAAAACTCAAGCCCATGTCATGGTCAAGCTGCTTGAAGTGCCATTCCAAAGGCTCTCTAGCATTCATCATGACCCGTTCTAGTGACTAAAAATAACAAACAAACAATAGTCCTTATGACTGTTACAGCATTTATAATCAATACTCATTTATACCTATTAAAAAAAAAAACAGTATTGATGAGTGCATGTTAAAACTGGTTTATATATTTAAATGTGTTTTAGGTAATTATTTTCCTTGTGTCGTGTTAGGGTATTTACAAACAATTCTCTTCAACCTCATATCTTGGGCAGGCTAGAAATATGCAGTATCTGGGAAAATGCAAGCAGGCTTGGTAGTCGGTAAGTTAGCTCTGTCACTGTTGAATGCAGTCTGATCAGTCCATTTATATCTCACTGTATTCTTGTAGCAACAATAAATCCGCTACCAGCTTGCTAGGCCTGTCATAGCTTCTAGAGCACCATTAGCCAGTACATTTAAGGGTGACCCAGAATGATGTTCCTGGCACAATTCTAGCACAAGGCCACACCATACTTGGTCCAATTCTAGTACAAGGCCACACCTTACTTGGTCCAATTCTAGCACAAGGCCACACCTTTCTTGGTCCAATTCTAGCACAAGGTCACACCATACTTGGCCCAATTCTAGCACAAGGCCACACCTCACTTGGTCCAATTCTAGCACAAGGCTACACCTTACTTGGCCCAATTCTAGCACAGGGCCACACCATACTTGGTCCAATTCTAGCACAGGGCCACACCATACTTGGTCCAATTCTAGCACAAGGTCACACCATACTTGGTCCAATTCTAGCACAAGGCCACACCTTACTTGGCCCAATTCTAGCACAGGGCCACACCATACTTGGTCCAATTCTAGCACAGGGCCACACCATACTTGGTCCAATTCTAGCACAGGGCCACACCATACTTGGTCCAATTCTAGCACAGGGCCACACCATACTTGGTCCAATTCTAGCACAAGGTCACACCATACTTGGTCCAATTCTAGCACAAGGCCACACCTTACTTGGCCCAATTCTAGCACAGGGCCACACCATACTTGGCCCAATTCTAGCACAAGGCTACACCATACTTGGCCCAATTCTAGCACAAGGCCACACCATACTTGGTCCAATTCTAGCACAAGGCCACACCTTATTTGGTCCAATTCTAGCACAAGGCCACACCTTACTTGGTCCAATTCTAGCACAAGGTCACACCATACTTGGCCCAATTCTAGCACAAGGCCACACCATACTTGGTCCAATTCTAGCACAAGGCCACACCATACTTGGCCCAATTCTAGCACAAGGTCACACCTTACTTGGTCCAATTCTAGCACAAGGTCACACCATACTTGGCCCAATTCTAGCACAAGGCCACACCATACTTGGTCCAATTCTAGCACAAGGCCACACCTTACTTGGTCCAATTCTAGCACAAGGCCACACCTTACTTGGTCCAATTCTAGCACAAGGCCACACATTACTTGGCCCAATTCTAGCACAAGGCCACACATTACTTGGCCCAATTCTAGCACAAGGCCACACATTACTTGGTCCAATTCTAGCACAAGGCCACACCATACTTGGCCCAATTCTAGCACAAGGCTACACCATACTTGGCCCAATTCTAGCACAAGGCTACACCATACTTGGCCCAATTCTAGCACAAGGCCACACATTACTTGGCCCAATTCTAGCACAAGGCCACACATTACTTGGCCCAATTCTAGCACAAGGCCACACCATACTTGGCCCAATTCTAGCACAAGGCCACACCATACTTGGTCCAATTCTAGCACAAGGCTACACCATACTTGGCCCAATTCTAGCACAAGGCTACACCATACTTGGCCCAATTCTAGCACAAGGCTACACCATACTTGGCCCAATTCTAGCACAGGGCCACACCATACTTGGCCCAATTCTAGCACAAGGTCACACCATACTTGGCCCAATTCTAGCACAAGGCCACACCATACTTGGTCCAATTCTAGCACAAGGTCACACCATACTTGGTCCAATTCTAGCACAAGGCCACACCATACTTGGTCCAATTCTAGCACAAGGCCACACCATACTTGGTCCAATTCTAGCACAAGGCCACACCATACTTGGCCCAATTCTAGCACAAGGCCACACCATACTTGGCCCAATTCTAGCACAAGGCCACACCATACTTGGCCCAATTCTAGCACAAGGCCACACATTACTTGGTCCAATTCTAGCACAAGGCCACACATTACTTGGCCCAATTCTAGCACAAGGCTACACCATACTTGGCCCAATTCTAGCACAGGGCCACACCATACTTGGCCCAATTCTAGCACAAGGCCACACCATACTTGGCCCAATTCTAGCACAAGGCCACACCATACTTGGTCCAATTCTAGCACAAGGCCACACCATACTTGGTCCAATTCTAGCACAAGGCCACACATTACTTGGCCCAATTCTAGCACAAGGCTACACCATACTTGGCCCAATTCTAGCACAAGGCTACACCATACTTGGCCCAATTCTAGCACAAGGCTACACCATACTTGGCCCAACTCTAGCACAAGGCTACACCATACTTGGCCCAATTCTAGCACAAGGCTACACCATACTTGGCCCAATTCTAGCACAAGGCTACACCATACTTGGCCCAATTCTAGCACAAGGCTACACCATACTTGGCCCAATTCTAGCACAAGGCTACACCATACTTGGCCCAATTCTAGCACAGGGCCACACCATACTTGGCCCAATTCTAGCACAAGGTCACACCATACTTGGCCCAATTCTAGCACAGGGCCACACCATACTTGGTCCAATTCTAGCACAAGGTCACACCATACTTGGTCCAATTCTAGCACAAGGCCACACCATACTTGGTCCAATTCTAGCACAAGGCCACACCATACTTGGTCCAATTCTAGCACAAGGCCACACCATACTTGGCCCAATTCTAGCACAAGGCCACACCATACTTGGCCCAATTCTAGCACAAGGCCACACCATACTTGGCCCAATTCTAGCACAAGGCCACACCATACTTGGCCCAATTCTAGCACAAGGCCACACATTACTTGGTCCAATTCTAGCACAAGGCCACACATTACTTGGCCCAATTCTAGCACAAGGCCACACCATACTTGGCCCAATTCTAGCACAAGGCCACACCATACTTGGTCCAATTCTAGCACAAGGCCACACCATACTTGGCCCAATTCTAGCACAAGGCCACACCTCACTTGGTCCAATTCTAGCACAAGGCCACACATTACTTGGCCCAATTCTAGCACAAGGCCACACCATACTTGGCCCAATTCTAGCACAAGGCCACACCTTACTTGGTCCAATTCTAGCACAAGGCCACACCATACTTGGTCCAATTCTAGCACAAGGCCACACCTTACTTGGTCCAATTCTAGCACAAGGCCACACATTACTTGGCCCAATTCTAGCACAAGGCCACACATTACTTGGCCCAATTCTAGCACAAGGCCACACCTTACTGGGCTTAATTCTAGCTCAAGGCTACACCATACTTGGCCCAATTCTAGCACAAGGCCACACCTTACTTGGCCCAATTCTAGCACAAGGCCACACCATACTTGGTCCAATTCTAGCACAAGGCTACACCATACTTGGCCCAATTCTAGCACAAGGCTACACCATACTTGGCCCAATTCTAGCACAAGGCTACACCATACTTGGTCCAATTCTAGCTCAAGGCTACACCATACTTGGCCCAATTCTAGCACAAGGCTACACCATACTTGGCCCAATTCTAGCACAAGGCTACACCATACTTGGCCCAATTCTAGCACAAGGTCACACCATACTTGGTCCAATTCTAGCTCAAGGCCACACCATACTTGGTCCAATTCTAGCTCAAGGCCACACCATACTTGGTCCAATTCTAGCACAAGTTCACACCATACTTGGTCCAATTCTAGCTCAAGGCCACACCATACTTGGTCCAATTCTAGCTCAAGGCCACACCATACTTGGTCCAATTCTAGCTCAAGGCCACACCATACTTGGTCCAATTCTAGCACAAGGCCACACATTACTGGGCTCTATTCTAATACAAGGCCACATTATACCTAGCCCCATTCTAGCAATTGCCTGTTTTGTCCTGTTTATGACATGTACATGGGTTTGGAAAGTTATAATAATAATGTACACATAATTTATAAAAAATTATCATTTCATTTCATCTTGATCCTCTTACATCTTGGAGTGTTAAGGTGAAGTGTAAATTACGCAAAAGCACCCTTTTTTTGTTCTTCGTAAATTGGGATTCCCAGGGTCTCTGTAATACCCAAATATTTCAGTTGTAGTTTTTCTTTTCTCTTGTTCTGTCACTGTCCAGGTCAGGCATTGATAACACAGGGTTGGCAAAGAGACTCTGCTACAGAGCGCTTGTTTGGTTTCTACTGATACATGTTTGTTTCTTAGTGCTGGTTCCGTTTGCCCAATGAGTTGGTTTGCTCTGTTACATTTGTCATCAATCTCATCTTCTGTTTTGTCAGCTGATGACATTATGCTTCCTAAGTATTTGTAATTCTTGATGAACACATTTCTGAAATAATGCTAAGTGACACTTATTCAACCTGAAACCTAATTTATTGAAAGTAATCTTTTTCTATGAAATCTCAACAGTCACCAGCTAAATGAGGTAATGACACAAAGAGAAGCACATCTTATTCACTCTGAGTCCCAGGGGGTTTAGCATCAGAGGCCCAAAGGGTAGTCAAAAGAGACATAAAATCGGCGCATCTTGCGTTCATTGGGCTTCTAGGTAGAAACCTATGAACGTATGATGCGATCCTTGGGACTCAAAGAGTTAAACATTGGGTAAGCTGTACAATAGAGATCTGATGGTACATACTTTGTTTTCAAACAGACCAATGTTATCCAGAGTATGCAGATTTTGTTCTAACAAGCCTAGGCCAGCAGCATACAGAGACACTTCATCCAGCTGCAAAACTGAGATGGCTACCCAGAAGAGAAACTTGTGAATTGGAGATTCCTGAATAAATGAACAGACATGAATAAAAAATATTAAAATCTGTCAAGACTTACATAAAACATCTTTATTTCATTACAGTGTTTTTATCTTTATTTACCATGTGTATAACTGACTTCATATTTACATTTTAAATAATTTATTACAATATAAGTATTCACAATAACTGAATTTAAACAAAGCTCCGTCTGTTTCACTCATAATTTTCAATAGCTGTTGATTGAAATGTAATCTTCACATGACAGAAATCTAACCCAAAATGGTGAGCTGTGCTTGTATTTGTTTGCAGCACCAATAAGATAACTGCTGCACTATCTACACAATTCCATGAGGCAGCAAAGATATCTTCATACAATTTTAAATATATGCTGACTGTGGTATGTTATTACGGATTCCCTCTCAATTTGATTGATATGCTGAAGAGGTTTATATTTTAACTATATTTTATTGTTGTTATGGGCATTCTCTTTTACAAGAATAGCTGTTAAAAGTAACTTATGTATAAAGGCCTGAAATTGGCAGCAGAATTGAACAGCAAAGCTATCCATTGGCGAACTATGAATGTTGAATTAAGAATCAACATCACAGCACTCAGGACAGTCCCATAAGCACACTGTCCTCACCTTCAGCAGCAAGTGAAGAGTTAAAATTCCGATGGTACCAGTAACTGTCTGACTGTATATCTGTCTCGCCTTTCCCCTGAGTGTTGAGCGCCGGCCAGATCCCCTTGTAACTCCTTGCAGTGCCATTCTCCTTAGACCGTAATGATCTATCTGTGCCTCGGCACTGTTCACTAGCTCCCAATTGGCATTCACAACATCCAGCTTGTCATACATCAGTTCACCACCAAGTGGGGCAGAACCGGCCAGTATCTCCGCCTGCTCATTTCCCAACACTCAAGCATCACATGGAGAAAATATTCAAAGGATGCTAACTACCCAGTACCTTTGAAGTGATGCTTGCCACTCTGCATGGAGCATGCCTATCTCCACCTTTCTCAACATGCTCTGTGAGTCAGTACAATGATGGCATGTGTGTACAGCGTATTCTGAAGCCAGTGGATGGCAGCAGTGACTGCCTCCACCTCCATTCTCAAACTAGACGTTGTGATATCATATGCCAGGCTTTGTTGCATCAAGCGACGTCCAATCGTCTTCACTATGAACCTCCATGCACTTCACCTGCCCCTCAACACAGAGCCATCTGTATAGACAATCACACCACCTGGGTGGGAATTTTCATGAATCATTTGTTGAACTTCTGATTCTGCAGCACCAGCTGGCCAGTCCCTGCACTCACGTCCACAAGTGTGGCGCGGTGATTTATGTCACAGGCGTGAGGGGAAGTTAAGTCCAACATGATGTGTATAAGGAGATACTCCGTACGTCACTCGGGCGCCAGTCCTTTACTATCCTGGTTGTACGGAACCTCACGCAAGACCCCTACAGCACGTCCTCGTCGTGCGCCACGGATAATGTCTCAAATGAGCATTAACAGAGCTGTCAGGGGATCTCGGAGTCTGGCGGCCCCCAGAGGTGATGTGTCCTTGTGGCTCTCATCAGCCCGCCCCCAAACGCTTGGGTGAAAAGTGTTATCAAAACTCATTAGGAACATGAGTAGGTTTGACAAAAGTACAGCTAAAATTACAACCCTTGGTTAAAAGACTGCTGAGTAAAGAGAACATTGCTCAATGCTCATCCTCGGTTAATTCTCAAGTGTCGTCGTCACCGCGCTGAGGTGCACCACAACAGCAACCATACATGGGCTGGCCATCCTTGTGCATCCTCGGTTGGCCCTCAGTGTCGTCGTCACCGCGCTGAGGTGCACCACAACAGCAACCATCCATAGGCTGGCCAGTCACGTACATCCTCGGTTAACCCTCAGTGTCGTCGTCACCGCGCTGTGGTACACCACAACAGCAACCATCCATCGGATGGCTAAGCCTAAATGTCCGACAAAACTAGATCATACGGATCAAAATCTGACCATCAAAATTTGCACTGAACTGAAAAAGGCCGAATGTCCACACCCAAAGACCCCACTCGCCCGAGTGTTGGGACAAAACTGATAACGATATGCCTGATTCAGGATGTGAAATTCTGTCGGGCTAATGTACCTATCTGTGTGGTCACAAAAGTCCAAAACCCACGGGCTGCTCCCCGCTGACTTCCAGAGGGCGCAGCCCCTGTCGAGCGGGAGGCCTGATACGGTTGTGAGGTTAAGCAGGCATGTGCAGGACGTGACGATTCCTTGGGTGAGCCCAGAACCAGAGTGCCATGTGCCGGCTCTGCATGCATGGAAGCCTCCTTGGATGGCGGGGAATGCCCATGATCTGCCCCTGCCTTCCCTTGAGGGCCAACTGTTCCACAGGGGGCTGCCCCAAAGGGGTACTCCGGGGGCAATACCTGCGGCGAAGGAGACAAGGCGGACACCACACAAATCAGGCCAAGTCTCGACCCACACAAAACAATGGCCACAGTCACCCTAGAAATAGGCCTGACGTCTTCCTTCGAAGTCGGCGTACAGCTGCCCAAGAGGCAGGGAAATGAAAAACGGTTGTACACGCAAAAATCAGGTCCAGGTGAAAGCCAAAAGTCCAAGTGGACGATTAACCGGGACCTTCCACTGGAATTCACAGCCGGTGTTCGAGGGAAAAAAAAAAAAAACCGTCCACAAGTGATTAGAACCCTACACAAGTCTAAAACCTGATCGGACACTCTGACCCACTTCTCTCCTGGCCTAAATTTATCAAGCCTGCACACATGTCCAATTGTGTCTTCAGCTTTCACCATCCAAGACCTTCCTCTTTTCAGTCTGTGACACTTAGCTCTACCCAGGGCTTCATGCAGGTGGTGCCTCTTGTCCGCAGCCACTCTGAGATATGACTTTGCTTGCAGAACTTTGAGCCTATCTGCAATAGTAGGCAGTGCAAGTATATATCGCACACATACTACCGGGGTATCTCTCATACATCCCAGAATTATTCGCAAGGTTTCATTCTGTATGTGTTCAAGTTTCATCAGCTGACTCTTCGGTAAACTACGAAGAAAACAATCTGAAGTAACACAAGAGATCAATGCTCCAACCACAGTCACCAGCTAAATGCACTAAATATAATCCTTATGACAAGAGATAATTAGGCAGATGTAAAGGCAGGCAGACAGACAGACAGACAGACAGACAGACAGACAGACAGACAGACAGACAGACAGACAGACAGACAGACAGACAGACAGGCAGGCAGGCAGACAGACAGACAGACAGACAGACACATACAGAATAATGAACAAAGTTATACAAGCTGACAGACTTATGAATACATCACAAACTGCCCTTACAGGTTTCAACATGGGCTGTAACCTTGTTAAACACATCACCACTGCTTCAATCAGAGTGAGGTCCATGTAAGACTCTAAGGCCTGTAGAATAGGACAAATTCAACATTGGGACATAACTTCAATTTATACTATTCTTATTATAACTTGTCAACTATTGCTACACTTGCTGAACTAGTTTTCACTTTAAACCTTGCACTTTTATAGTCAGAAGCATGTCTTGGTTTACTCTAAGTGGGTGATAAAAAGACACACTACCTGATCACTCGGGTAAAAAACAAACCACTACAATACTTACTAAATTCAGTTTCAATTCTACACCCATCCAACATAATTTAAACAGCGGCCCATCTTTAAAACATCATCTTTTTCAGCACTGCAGGTCCTGGAGGTTTTACTGCTGCAGACATTACCAGCCTCCATGAATATCTTCTTTCTGCCCTATTTCCAGCTGAGGACTCCGTTTTAAGTCTGCCTAGATACCTCTTCACCATCTTCTTGATCTGCCTTATAGTGAGCTCCCTTTCAACCTTTTGTACATACAGTTTTTGCCGCTCACTCATCTGCATTCTCTTTATGTCCTCACTATTTCAGTCTATAAGCCCTCATGATGACAAACATCACTGGTGATTCAAACAGATTATGAATTTTGTTGAGGAGCGGCTAGTCAAGTGGTTAACTCTTTCAATGTTATGGACCGTATTTAGCCATTTGCCCGAGAACTGCTACGAATGTCTATAGACATTATCCAGTTTCTGTGCCCCTGTGGGTGTGAAACAGATTTTTAAACTTTCCCTACAGACTGCTAAGGACCGTTATTTTTGGGAGTCAAATGACAATACACATTAGCTATATTCGGATCAAACTGTCCCATTTACATATGATTAAACACCTTCTCATATGCATTTAGATGTGATTAGGTTAGCAGGACATCGTTCTGCATTATCCTGTTGCTTTATTTACCATGGAAGTTTGGTCGGTGATGTGTGTATTTTGTAGCCTGAAATATAGTTATAGTTTTGCATTAATCTACATTTTGTTTAGACAAAATGGCGAGAAAACTGGTTGATCGGATAAAGAATTAATGGAGAGATAGTGAAGATGACTTTGAAATTGGTGAGTTATTATCTTCTTCTTCTTCTTCGCGTTCACCAGCTGTAAACTCTGGTGGAAAGTTCTGGTTGTTCGTCCACTTCTGAACTGCAGTCCTGCTCCAGAACCTGGGTGTCGTGTGTGCATCAGTTTTACAGATCTGATTCACTTGAATGCAGACTGTTGGTTCCTTGCCTCTCAGGCAGATGCACTCTGACTTCAAAGGAAGCTCCCCAATTAGTCGACTCTTACGTCATGCTTTTGGGGAGGCAGAGGGTCTATTCTTGGTTTTCCCACGATGGGGCCCCGGAACCCACACGGGGAGGTGAGTTATTATAAGCTGAGTTGTCTTCATGGCAATCTGGATGTGTACTTTTGGCAAGACAATCTAAACCAGCCATTGAAGGGATTTGAAATGGGTACTGCGATAATCAGCAAGAGGCTAAACATACTGTGCAATGTCTGTGACATGCGGATGAGCACTGTCATGTAACAGAATCGCATCATGCAAAAGCATGTTGGGTTGTAATTATTGATGTCTTTATGCAGTTTGTCTCGTGTATCTTTGTAGTTGCTGGCAGTGACATTCGCACTAGAGTAAAGTCTGCCAATTAAAGCCCTTCACAGTTTAAAAAAATAAATATTAATCTTAGAAATGGAGACCTGTAACTTGAATATTTTATCAGAAAACTGTTAGCTGAATTTTCTCTTTTCATGATCCTTCTATTGCATGCTCATTATTTAGTTGCATGGCTTAAAGCAACGGCACGATAATTCACCATATGCCGCCGCTGTTCACAATATAGATGTACCACTCTCTGTTCTGTAATGCAGAAAGTGGTTAAACTTCACCCTATGTGTTCTTCCTCAAGATGGACAACCTTGGGACCTATTATCAACATACCTTCTGATACTAGCTTCTTATGAACCATCATTTGTCCCAAATGACAATCAAATTTTACTACTAATGTTCTACCACCAGTGAACATAAACTCTGATGACAGTCCTCACGTACTACTGCATTAGTCTTGTTGATGGCTTCCAGTCACAATAAGACCAGCGTGCTCTGATCAGCTCACCACACAGTGCCTGAATTTTATGTGCAATGGTAACTGTTTGCTAACAGGTAAAGAATTAAATCACCACTGGCTGATCCTCTGTGGTCAGATTTGTTATCATGTCAGCCATGTTGTCAATGATATGCAGCAGCACATGTATGAAGAATGAACACATGCTCACTGTTTCATTGGTCTAATATTGTTACAAGGACAAGACATCATCGTGTCCCCAATACACTGTCCATTATGATGCAGCACAATACAATCCTAGGAACATCAAGATTCAGGAGGATGAGGAAAGAAGAAGAGGAATCAGGTACAGGATCTAAAATAGGTACCAGGAAATGATGTAGACAAACAAGATGGCCAGCATGACATCTGCCCCATCACCCACTGAGGACTGATTCATTACACACATTTGGGGTTACAACTGTCTCAAGGCAGGGGAGAAGCTCTTTCATTGTTTGACATGTTATGGAAGAGGGTGTGTATAAGAGAGAAAGAGAACGATTCAACATTGGTGGAAACACATTAAAGTACAGATACACAAATGAGTTATGCTTGAGGCCGTAAAATAAAAAGGTTTGTGTAATTCAAGCACAAAAACAAAACAATGAATATGACATAAATATAAAGTGCATTAAACAGAAATGATTATCAAAAGAGACTACACCACAACAACTAAGCCTTAAAATGACTATTATGGAAACAGTAAATCTGAAGTATTTATCCATATCCTGGTAGCTTATCTTTGCAGAACAACACTATTATCAGGACCTGCAGGAAAGACACTACTACTCACCAATCCCATGTTTGTTTAACTCTTTTTGTTCCAAGCCTTCACCATGTGTGCTCAGCATATGTCTATATGTATCAACCCAACACACTGTGTTATTTTTTATTGCATGTTTGGTCTAGTTACGCAAAAGAAATCTGGTTAAATATTTTAAATGTAGCACACTGTATGCTGTATCTTTGAAAGTCATACAATGATGCTTTGTTTTTTCTTTACAGTGAATTATTGTGCCATATTGTGTTTCTACTCTAAAACTATTTGGGACTAAAAAAAAAGTGTAGTGTCTCCAAATCTGTGTCCATGTACTACCACATGGCATTAGGGTGAAGGCATGCATCTCAAATATCATTATCATCTCTTCATGCATGTGTTATATATGATGACCTCTTTCCTATAAGTTTTCCATCTTTGCATTTACTCTGAAACCACTTTTACTGCAGAAGTAAAAACTCGCAATTCTTTACAGCAACACATCACATAACACATCCTTTACAGAAGGTCACTCACATCACAGCCCTTAAGTAAGAAACTCAGTCCTTCACCAACTACCCTACTAGCATTGCCAATTTGGCACTTGAAATGCCAATTTGATAAATTTGGCAATTTAAAAAAATGATTGGCAGACCCCAAAAATGATTGGCGGTTTGGCAGATTTGTCATATGCGACAAATCCCCCCCCCCCCCCCCCCCCACCCTATAAAAATGTGTGTATTTCTTAATAGCAAAGTGGTTAAATATAATATAATGTGATGAATGTATGCTAGGAAATATTAACTGGGAATCTGCAAATAAGGGGACATTCACCAGTGTGGGATTCACCAGGCCCAAGGGAGATACCTCCCAGCAGGCAAATTCGGGCCCAAGGTAATGAAAAGAGTTGACAGAAACAAATGCAGAAAAGCAATTGCTAACAGGGTAGTCAATGCATAAGACAATTTTTATGGGGTCTAGACAGCGAGCAGTCCTGATGGTTGGAGTACAGATTACTGGGAACCTTCTGAAGTGGGGAAGCACAAAGTAATGAATGACAGTGAAAAGTTTGAAACTGGTGTTCTTCTTCACAAGTCATTTAACTAAAGAGCTTGCAGCGTTTTCTCTGACTTGTGTAACAACTCCTGTAAGTAATGCTATTATTGAGATAGTGTTCTCTTTCCTGCCCAAGGTGTCTATGTCCGGTGACCATTTGTGTCAATTCCATAAGGCTTCTGGGCGCTTCTTTGATTTATTCCCCAAAATGGCGGCATGCCAGATTCTGGCCATAAAATATCCAAAAATATCCGAACGACGGTGTTCGCGTATATCTAAAATACGGACTTTCTGCCAACGAACAAATCGCGGCAAAACTAGGATTACTTGACAACCAATATAAACATTTGCACACGGTACTAGTAGCAGACGATAAATACCGACAAATTTCGAGCGTTTCTGCAGACGACGATACTAGCAGACGATATTACGCTACCGTTGACCAATTTCGAGACATTGCAGACGATGAAAGCCGATTAGCAATACTGTGTTATTCCGATTGGAGGATTTAGCAGCGGTAGATGTCAGACTTGTCGGCATGCGCCAAACGCGATTAAACTCATCGCCGAGCGTATCTAGGTGCCTGGGACTCACGAGTACAGTAATTGGAGGAAGTTGCAGGAGATGCGGTAGCTGCCACTCGTGAGTCCCAGCCATCTAGTTAAGCCCCCATCCGCGCCGCGCGTAGCGGCGCGGGGGATACACTCGGCGGTGAGGCACACTCGCAGAAGCAGGTCGGCAAGCAACGTATCGCCCAGACCCTGTCAGAGCATTTGTTTCGTTATTCGGAGCCGGCACATATATTTTTATTAGAACTGACCCCGCATTTGGATATTTTTGGATGTTTTATGGCCAGAAATTGGCCAATTTAGCTCCTTTTTGAACGCCATCATATTACAGCCGCCATTTTGGGGAACGATTCAAAGAAGCGCCGGCTTCTGTAAGCCATCTGATGTTTCTTTCTCCTGCTGCTTGGATTAGTTCTGTTGGTAATCTATCAGCTCCTGGTATTTTATATTTGGGAGAGTGCTTAATTAAAGACTTTAATCTACTTCACCAACTAATATTTCTGTTTTTAGTACTAAATCTCTGCGGTCTGGGGCTAATGTCGGCTCTGTGACTAAGTCGATGCGAACACTTCGTAATGCCGGGTTCGATCCCAGCTGCGGGCCATGCACCTTGCGTTGGTTTCGACAGTGGTATCAAGAAAGCCGACTGTCCAGAAAGCAATGTCAAACTACTGGACGTAAATTTGCCTAGAAAAACCACACAACAGCCAGGAGCTGTTGAGGTTGGTTCTGCAATGTCGTGTAAAGGATACGCTACTAACCTGGGGCTATTCTTTCCTGATAACCCCCCCCCCCCCCCCTCCCCCCCCCGGGGTTTTAAGAGCTCACTGAAGTATTCTCTCCATCTGTTTATTTCTGGTGAATTATAAATGGCCATCCTATCTTAACATTAATTATTTCTGTGTGTTTGGAGCTCTCCTCTCTTTTTCGCATACTTCTGACTGCTTTGAAAAATGTTCTGCTGGCTGTTCTCTCTTTTACCATTAATTCTATGAAAAGTTCCAAGGATTTTATTTGTTTCTTGATCCTCTGGTTGGTTTCTCTCTTTTACCATTAATTCTATGAAAAGTTCCAAGGATTTTATTTGTTTCTTGATCCTCTGGTTCGTTTCTCTCAGTTTCAGTCTACAGTTTATATAATCTTCTTCTTTCTTAAATTTTATCAGCTGTTTATACAAGACTGGTTTTTTCTTAACCGCTTCTTTTACTTCTCTGCATCCAAAGTTGAATATTTATTATGTAGTTCCTTTACTAGTTCCGTTAAGCTTTTCAAAAGGAGAAATGTGTTGTCTGTTACAAAAGTTCCAGAACATCACTACCAAGAGTGGATTAAAACTGTCTGAAGACTGATCATTTTTGGTATTTCTCATTAGGCAATAGCAAGAAATATTGAGGAAAAGACACTGGCAGCTGAGTAACGTCCGTAAAATAAAATAATATTAACTCTATAATGGACAAAATAAAGTCTGCAGAATCAAATAACATTACCTCTACAATGGACAGACAAGAAATGTCTACAAAATAAAGTAATTTCAACTCTGCAGTGGGCAGATGCGTGATGTCAATAAAATTAAATAATGTTAACTTTACCATGGGCAAATGAGTGATGTCTATAGAATTTAATGTTAACTTTACCATGGGCAAATGAGTGATGTCTATAGAATTAAATAATGTTAACTTTACCTGGGCAGATGAGTGATATCTATAGAATTAATTAATGTTAACTTTACCAAGGGCAGATGAGTGAAGTCTACAGATATCATGTGCCTTCCAGAAGTGAAATAAGAGTTCAATTTATGTTTGCAAGATAATGCCCATGCTGACAAAGTAGCAAAGGATATTTATAACAGCATAAAATAAAAGCAGAGAACCAGTTTTAGACAGACTAACCACTGCAAAATATGTCACAAACAGTTAGTACAAAACAGTACAAGTACAATCCAGTGGAGTAGTGGCTGATACAATAAAGACAAGAGTCATGCAGTAACCAAGTTAATACCAATACTGAAACTGTGACATGTTCATAAAACATTACACACCTAAATAACATTGATGCTTCACAAACGAGCTAATGTTGTCAGTTAAAGAAGTCTTTTTGAAGACATATTTTAACATCTAGCTAACTGTTCACATTTTATTTACTTATGAAAATTGAACAACCAGTACTCAAAACCAATATTTCCAGGCACTTAGTATCAGACATCAGTTTTCTTTGCTGGCAACTTCTTTTTTTTTCAATGTCTGTTAGAATCCATGTTGTTTATTATTTACCCTAACCATCTATAACAATTAAAGTGGGTTTTAAACAAAAATTTCCAAGCAAATGACCCCACACAAATACAGTTAAATGATAAATTGAAACTCAACTTTTCATGGGAAAAAGCATGCACCTTTCAAGAATGAAAGAACACTGCAGTTGCAAAAAAATGTTGTAGTGATGTCATGTACAACAGACCTGAAGGACATCTAGCTAGATATCTAAGTAAGATAAAGGGTGACACATCTAAAAGTACTCACAAAAATGTAGTAGTGATGTCATGTACAACAGACTTGAAGGATATCTAGCTAGACATCTAAGTAAGATAAAGGGTGACACATCTAAAAGTACTCACAAAAATGTAGTAGTGATGTCATGTACAACAGACCTGAAGGATATCTAGCTAGACATCTAAGTAAGATAAAGGGTGACACATCTAAAAGTACTCACAAAAATGTAGTAGTGATGTCATGTACAACAGACTTGAAGGATATCTAGCTAGACATCTAAGTAAGATAAAGGGTGACACATCTAAAAGTACTCACAAAAATGTTGTAGTGATGTCATGTACAACAGACTTGAAGGATATCTAGCTAGATATCTAAGTAAGATAAAGGGTGACACATCTAAAAGTACTCACAAAAATGTAGTAGTGATGTCATGTACAACAGACTTGAAGGATATCTAGCTAGACATCTAAGTAAGATAAAGGGTGACACATCTAAAAGTACTCACAAAAATGTTGTAGTGATGTCATGTACAACAGACTTGAAGGATATCTAGCTAGACATCTAAGTAAGATAAAGGGTGACACATCTAAAAGTACTCACAAAAATGTTGTAGTGATGTCATGTACAACAGACTTGAAGGATATCTAGCTAGACATCTAAGTAAGATAAAGGGTGACACATCTAAAAGTACTCACAAAAATGTAGTAGTGATGTCATGTACAACAGACCTGAAGGATATCTAGCTAGACATCTAAGTAAGATAAAGGGTGACACATCTAAAAGTACTCACAAAAATGTTGTAGTGATGTCATGTACAACAGACTTGAAGGATATCTAGCTAGACATCTAAGTAAGATAAAGGGTGACACATCTAAAAGTACTCACAAAAATGTAGTAGTGATGTCATGTACAACAGACCTGAAGGATATCTAGCTAGACATCTAAGTAAGATAAAGGGTGACACATCTAAAAGTACTCACAAAAATGTTGTAGTGATGTCATGTACAACAGACCTGAAGGATATCTAGCTAGATATCTAAGTAAGATAAAGGGTGACACATCTAAAAGTACTCACAAAAATGTAGTAGTGATGTCATGTACAACAGACTTGAAGGACATCTAGCTAGACATCTAAGTAAGATAAAGGGTGACACATCTAAAAGTACTCACAAAAATATCCCTGACCTTCATCATAATTTTCAACAGCTGCTTCACTTCAGAATCTGACACAGTCTTGCTGATACAGCCAAACACAATGATTGCTCTAGGCTGAAGGGCGGGGTTGTACTGAAATGCAAACCTGTAAGATCAAAGGCACCTAATAAGTGAATGTTCAGAGGTAACAGTTAATCGACAGATTATCCTCACTGCACATCGGACAAATCCATAAGTGCTCAGATCACATCTTCAGCATGTTATGTCCCTCCAGGGTGTGGCAACTGGTAACACCAGTTCTGTGTTGTTTTACTATTCTTCTATGGCTATCTGTATAGTGTTCATGTCTGGCATACCACATTTGACCTGGAGTTCTAGTAGTCTCAGCGGAATCCTAGCACATATTCAAGTATATAAGATACACAAATGAGTTATGCTTGAGGCCGTAAAATAAAAAGGTTCGTGTAATTCAAACACAAAAACAAAACAATCTTTTCTTTCACTGAGTATCATAGTCCTATTTTAAATTTAATTAGTTTTCAATTGTAGCTCAACTCACAGTAATGCTTTTGACTATCAAATGTTTTTGCAATGTCAACAGTGCTTTCCAATGTGTATGCAAACATTACTGCAGAACTAGAAGCTTTCCAATGTGTATGCAAACATTACTGCAGAACTAGAAGCTTTCCAATGTGTATGCAAACATTACTGCAGAACTAGAAGCTTTCCAATGTGTATGCAAACATTACTGCAGAACTAGAAGCTTTCCAATGTGTATGCAAACATTACTGCAGAACTAGAAGCTTTCCAATGTGTATGCAAACATTACTGCAGAACTAGAAGCTTTCCAATGTGTATGCAAACATTACTGCAGAACTAGAAGCTTTCCAATGTGTATGCAAACACTGCAGAACTAGAAGCTTTCCAATGTGTATGCAAACATTACTGCAGAACTAGAAGCTTTCCAATGTGTATGCAAACATTACTGCAGAACTAGAAGCTTTCCAATGTGTATGCAAACACTGCAGAACTAGAAGCTTTCCAATGTGTATGCAAACATTACTGCAGAACTAGAAGCTTTCCAATGTGTATGCAAACACTGCAGAACTAGAAGCTTTCCAATGTGTATGCAAACATTACTGCAGAACTAGAAGCTCCAGATGATGCTCTGACATAAAGGCAGGGATGCACTAGACAGCAGACAGCTCAAGAGCTACAGGCAACTGTAAACAAAGTGACCAACTGGTGTAGAGAGATGGATGCTGTTGTCATCAACCCAGAAAAGGATTCAGTTTTTTGGTCCTCTCTGGACAATAGGTTTATTGGAGTTGATGCACCAAGCCTCCCAATTAAATATCAAAAAAGAGAAAGACTAGAGTTAACATTGCAGATATAGATAATCTATTTCAAGCGAATGAAAGGAGAAGAAGAGTAAGAGGAAGAAAAAGAAGAAGAGGAGGAGGAGGAGGAGGAAGAGGAAGAGAAGGAGGAGGAAGAGGAGGAGGAAGAGGAAGAGGAGGAGGAGGAGGAGGAGAAGAAGAAGAAGAAGAAGAAGAAGAAAAGAGAAAGCAAACTGAGGTACCTGGATATCACTTTTAACAGAAGCCTGTCATTCAGGGACCATGTGGAGGCTGCTGCAGTAAAAGATAAAGAACCCTTTTCCACACATACTGGGAGTATAGGGCTAGTCCTATATTTTACAGACCAATCAGCATTGTTGGGCAATGTGGTCAGCATCAGGCCAGACATCTTTACTTTCCAGGAACTTATCTTGTACCCATTTTAAAGCTGGGTCGACGTGGGAGCGTAAGTCATTTTAAAAAAAAAGTCCGGCACCATCAGGACCTGAATCCATGACCTTCTGATCCGCAGGTTAAGTGTCTAGCCGCTACAGCATGGCGGTCCTAAGGTTACAGCGGCTCCTTGGTGCAGTGAAATGTCAAAAAGGATTCAAAGCATCTGAGATTATGGCAGCAGTGTTCATGAAGTAAAGAATGCTGTTTACATTGTTACATAGGAGAAGCAAGCCAATTACAGAAGCAATTACAAACGTAACAACAAAAATAGGAAGAACATGTGACCAGAAAATATATTCCCAGAAAATAATTAAAAAAGAACAACAGTTGGGATCACTTAAACACTTCTGCTCAAAACCCAACATTGAACAACTGAATAAATGTACCTATCTAGGTCAAAGTATAATAAAAGATGTCTCATGTATGATAGCAGGCCACTGTGGTGTAGCAGTTAGATGCTCGCCTGCAGATCCGAAGGTCATTGGTCTTGCCAGAACCGGATTTTTTTTTCCACAAATGAGCTTGGCTTGCAGGTGGACCCAGCCTTAGCCCTACCAGACTGCTGGCCCGATTTTCCGAGAATTTCCTAACCAGCCTCTATACCGCTGGCCCACTTTTCCGGGAATTTACGTAGTACGTGAAAAATATGCGTCACAGACTAAAAATAACCAGCCAATCGCCAGCAGACTTCATTGTTAGTCATTGCAAATGACTTCCCACGTGTGTTGAGATTTCTTTGTGTGGTTTAATGTGAAAAAAATTCTGAAAATTCTCAATGAAACGAGCGGCTTCGACAAGAAAGTGACATAGGTCTAGGTTTTTCACAGTCCAACAGGTGATCGATACTTTGGTTAATTCAGACTGCGAATACGTTCATGAAGAATACGTTCCCAGTTGAAGTGACACAGTCAGTGAGAGCTAGAGTGAGGAGGAGAATTATTAAAATTATAGATTCAAAACTAGATCGATAGTAAGAGAAGGGGGCGTGTCCCTCAAACAGCAACATCTGGTGCTTACTTTGTGAAACAAGACTAATCTTACTAGGTGGATTGGCACACAAAGGTGAAAGATTGGCGCTAGATGAAAGGTAAACCTATTTTCTACAATGTCTCCAAGTTTTATCTTATTCTAACCACTTGTTTGAATTTTTTTTTTGCTATATTTTTGTACATCATGTTCGTTTTTTCAGGTTAGTGCCCAGGAGCTCAGGTTATAGGGACAGTTAAGTTCAGGGCTTCAGGTCTGGTAGGGTTAAATGAGCACCAGGTAGTCCTGGGAAGTAAAGGCGGCTACAGTGATGTTGACAACATCACCCACGGAGTGCCGATTGGTTTATACAATATAATTCTAGCAATATAGTCCCAATATGCCAACAGGTGTGAAAAAGGTCCTTTAATGTATGACAGATATTAGAAGGATTGGGATACACACAAACTTAGATGGAAAAAACCCAGACTAAACAAATAAGTGTTGAAAACCTCAGGGAGCAAACACAAAACTATTGACAAGTATAACCAATTTATATTATGTTGGCTTTACCATGCTATAAGAAAAAGAACTACTAATGAAAGAGGCATTCAAAAACTCTGAGGTTCAGACTGAAGCAGGGTTCAAGAGAATTACAGAATTCAGAGATCTATAGAGTGATCTGATCAGAGGGCTTCCACACCAGTCTTTGGGTTGACTAACCTAATGATGATGACAAACGAATATGGCTACAAATACTATACGAACCTTCTGGCTAAGTCAGTCCACTGCTGCAGCCAATCACAATTTGGAATGTCTTTCATGCAGGCCTGTGTGAAATAATTAACATTAATGCTTATTTAATATGTGTTTCCATGCTTCAGTGTATGTGTTTCCATGCTTCAGTGTATGTGTGTCCATGCTTCAGTGTATGTGTGTCCATGCTTCAGTGTATGTGTTTAAATGTGTGCTGTATTACAGTTGTCCTGATGTCTTATTTCAATGCCTCTTTTCTCCAGTCAAACTTAGCGTATTAGAAAGCTGGTTCTATTTTTCATTTGCTCAATATCTTTTCATGATACATCGCCCGATGTTACGTTTGTAACGTCGCCCAGCTATTCATCAAACGAAGTTGGATTTTAAACGATGACGCCTGGTCTCACAGTGTGTTTAAGGAGGCATGCACCTTATGGTTAGCCAGATCAAACTGCGTGTGTTTTGCTGAGGACACTTTGTATGGCTACAGCATTCACTTGACTCAGTTTGTGACTGGAATCACTGGTATAGGCGGTTGAGCAATTATGGGCCACTCTAATTTGCTGTGATGCCAGAACCGTAACGACTAACTAACAAACTTTCCATGACATCAGACAATTGCAGTGTCTAATGTAGCAGTTCAATTAATTTTGTTTGTTCGTTTCTTTTGACATCAGACATTTGTTATATTAATCTAACCATCGTGCATACCTTAAAATATGCACTGATAAAAAACACTCATTGCATCAGGCGCTCTACACTGAAAAAGGCGACAGGCTGAAGAGAGGTAAGCCATGGCTTGTTAGGCAGATGATGTCATCAAGCAAGTATGTAGCCGAACCAATACCTCTCCTGGTGAAGAGTGGATACCCGTACCGTACCTCCTGTGTTTAATTGCAACTCTCTTGTATTGTCACGCTCAACAGAAGATGGTGGATACCAGAATGCTGTTGTGGTCAGTGCAGAGGTCAACACTCTCATCAGCGATAACTTTTGACGAAGCAGATGTACTGATCTACATAGACGGATCTGTTATACGACAGCAAAGAAGTGAATAGGCGTTCACAGCACGCTCAGCAAAGAACAATCAAAGACGCCAGCGGTGACTTCTCCAAGACAACAAGCAGCATGACGATGGAGCTGATGGCGGTAACGCAAGCATTCGTATGGCTTAGAACACAAGACTATACCTTTGTGTGTGTACTTAGCAATTCCATGAGCATGATCTGAAAGATCCAGGCAGCTTCTCTGCGAAGGCAGCGGACTGAGCTATTACAGAAGTCCACTGTGCGTAACGTCGTCTTTATCTTCGTTCTGGGGCAGGTGGGCATAAATGGAAACGAAAGGGCTGATACGTTGGCTGGATCAGCGATTCCACATCGCTCACCAGAATGAAAGACTTAAGAGTTAAGATCGGCATAGCCAAAAGTGAGAGACACACCAGGCATACAAAAAGACTTATCAATCAACAAAAATCTGGTACTATTAGTTACAGGACGCTGGGGTTCATACTGAGGAAAGGATCTGAGCATGTATAGACATGTCCGCAGTGCAATGATCATATCCCAACCAACCAGCCAACCAACCAACCAACCAACCATCCATCAGGCAGATGTTAATAAATCAATTCTGTTCTTGTAAAGTATTTTTTTAACTCATTCAGACCCAGGTTTCTACTTCACTAGAGTAGGAACTACCTGAAAGAAAGCAATCCTGTGTGAAATACATAGCAGCCTAGGAAGGCATAGTGTACTCTGTTAAATGAACAAAGATGCATAAAATAAAATTCACATTTTGGGAACCAGATACAAACTTCCCACTGACTGAAACGTTTTTGATGACATATTTTTACCAATGCTCAACATGAGTGCTATATTTTTATAATGGTGATTGGATAAAAAGCCTTTTTTTTTTTATTTTTGTTCAAGTTTTTGCATATTTGTATGACACATTCCCTGAAAATATGTAATTAATGAATTAGAACCTAATGATACCATGTCTGAGCAAATGAATACAACGTGGACAATAATGCCTGGCAGTACATTCTTGGAATGAACTATGGCTCAGTAAAAGTCAATTTTGCTATAATTTATCAGGCACAGTAAAGTCCCTTTTCCATGTCTTTAGGCATGATGGGAATATAGGACTAGACCAATATTTGTATAGACCAATCAGCACTTGGTGGCTGATGTGGTCAGCACCACGCCGGCCGCCTTTACTTTCCAGGACTGCACCTGGTACCCACTCAAGGCTGGGTCAACCTGGGAGTCAAGGTCATTTTAAAAAGTCTGGATCCGTTAGGACGCGAACCCACGACTTTCCGCAGGCAGGCGTCTAGCTCCCAATGCCACAGCGACTCCCAATTTATCAGTCATGGTTAGGGGAAATGAAATAACCAATTATGTAGATTGTGAGTCACTATGATTTAACAGACTATTTAGCTATTTCAGTAGGTAACATTATGAAAATCAAAAGACCGGAAACATATAAGCACTTGGGTGCAAACTTCAACTGCTCTAACATGCTGAGAGAAAAAATACAATATAGAATACAATCTAGAAATAAAGTATACTATGCCCTTCAACATCTGCTAAAAGTCAAAGTGTCTGTCTCGCAACACCAAGATCAAAATATATAAAACGTTGATAAGACCTGTCATTTTATATGGCTCTGAAACTTGGAGCCCAACTAAAAGAGATGAAGCCTTATTACAGGTTTTCGAAAACAGTCCTACGACGAATCTTTGGACGCATCAAAGATGCAAACAGCAGGGAATGGAGAATGAGAAGAAAAAACGAAATTCATAATCTGTTTAAATCACCACTGATAACTGGCATTATGAGAGCTAATAGACTGAAATGGTTGAGAGAATGTCAGATGACAGGGAAGCTAAAACTGTATACACAAACTGTAGACCATGAGGCAGACCAAGAAGTTGATGGAGAGATAATGTCCAGACAAACATGCAAACACTTGGTGTCACCAACTGGAAAGAGAAGGCCAACCAGAGAGATGAATGGAGGCGAGTGATATCAAGGGCTCGGAATGCTGAAGAAGAAGAATAGGCAACATAATTTGTCAGCATTATAATGCTTTATTACTAAAGTTTTAGTCAGCAACTTTCTTAGGTTTTCATTATAAATAGTTAATTATTAGCTGCAAATAAGAATATAACCTCTCTTTGCACAGCTGTGTCTATCAGTCTGGTTCCATAAATCACAAATTAAAATAATGCAAATTCATCACATTCCCTGTAAAACTCAACAAAGCACATGTTCTGCTGTCAGAACATTCTTTACTTTTAGCCTAGATACAGATTTACATCACTACTAAAGATAGGTTTTAAAATGGTATGTAAAATAACAGCATTCAATACTAGTAACTACAACCTTTTGTCTAACATGAGACAATAACAGAGAATCAGGAATGAGCCAAGCAGCTGATTTATTCTGTCCTTTTCATGAAAATATCTTACCTCCATAATCTCAAGAAGAGCATCTGCAATGGCCTCTAAAGAACTGAGAGGCATTTTCTCATTTTCTGGTGGTGACATTGTGAAAGAACGGTCTCCAGGGCGGTAGCTTGTCCTGAAAGCACTTACAGCTGCAGACTTGACAGTACTTATGCCAAACAACTGGTAGAATTTTGGCAAGGAAAACTCAGCAAGGCTGAGCTTCAAGACCTGCAGTGTGCTCTCTGTAGACAGAAATACATTTCTTGTCAGAGATAGAGTTTAGACAAAATACACGAAGAATGGCAGTTATGTTGTGATAAAGAACGTGTGTCTCATCCAACACCAGGCATCCAGCCCCAGGCATCCAGCACCAGGCTTGTCTGCTCACCTTTTGATTCAGCAGTTAAGTTCTTTCTCTGAGATTTGCATTTTTGATTCTGATATAATATTTGATTCACTTTATTTTGCTCCAATACTAGTCAATGAATGCCTATAATCTGCAAGTAAATGCTTTTGTAATTCATCATATTTCTGATAATGCCTCTTAGACGTGCTAGGTATTACAGTGTTATTAATTCTTGCTTTCCGCAAAGGTCCTGATAACATGTTCTCAAAAATAACAAGTCAAACTACATTTCACCAAGTGGACATAAGAATGAGATTTGTGGTGCATCGGGTTGCAGTCAGTTAGCAATTCAATACATAAAATCTCAGGATGAAGACATTACGGACTGAGGTCTGACTGCAGCCAGCCTGTACCTGATGTTTTCAATCATTAGCTGGATGCATTCTGTGTCTCTACACAGATATGAAGCTCCAGTACTAATCTTGAATTACACTTTGGTTTCTGAGTCTGGAAAAAGACAGGCAAGCTCTATAATGCAGACCTTGTGGAAGTGTTATTGGGTACCAACAGTTCAGGACAGTTTGCACACCAACCTCACTTGAAAAGAACCCTTTTCAGAGCTCATAACAACACAAATGGCGATGCTTCAGGATCAGGAGTTAAAAGATTTTTTTACATAAAATTTATCAACCAGTATTAATTTAAAATAGCTGACCACCAAAGTGGCACAATACAACTACAATTAATGTTATCACATAACTGATTGACTCACCTGAAAAATGTAGCTGTGAGCATGTGCACAGTGAATGGATGATGTTGATGACCAATCCATGAGTTGAAGCTCGCAGAGACAGGGGACCCGTTGAAACCAACAGTGTCACAATATGGAACAGGAATGGCAAGTGGCTGGCCACTGAAAGTTACAAGTTTTTTTTTTTTCAACAGTCATTTTCAACAGTGAACATTTATTTTTATTATTCATTTACACTTGAAATTGTTTTTATATTTACTACAGCACCTATATCTAGACAATATACAATGAAGCAAAATTAAAAAGACTTCACACATTGTAGGTGTGTAATGGAGAAACGTCAAATACCCCATACACTGATAGAAAGAGAATTGGTGAATGAATAAGGTTTATTGTGCCATTGGATGGATGGAGGGAGGGAGGGATGGGGAGAGAGAGAGAGAGAGAGAGGGAGGGAGGGAGGGAGGGGGAGAGAGAGAGAGGGGGGAAGGAGGGAGGGAGAGGGAGAGAGGGGGGAAAGAGAGAGAGAGAGAGAGAGAGAGAGAGAGAGAGAGAGAGAGAGAGAGAGAGAGAGAGAGAGAGAGAGAGAGAGAGAGAGAGAGAGAGAGAGAGAGAGAGAGAGAGAGAGAGAGAGAGAGAGAGAGAAATTAGATCACATTGTAGAAAATCTAAAAGACTGTGATAATGACATGTTTGAATTCTTGAAAATAATTATGCAAATAATATTCCAACTATAATACTATGAGTCCCAGTTGCATCAGATTTCTCAGTCTCTCCTTCTCTCCATCATATGATCATCATCAAGTGCTCTGCTGACTGGCCTGGGCGATCATGCCCATCCACAATTTGTAATCTTCAACATCATGTATCAGTTTGTGTGCTGACACCCCTCCATACCATGGTAAGAGGCTGTCAAGAATCATCTCACCCTGCCTTCCATCTCACCCTCTTTTTCCATAGATCTTTCCAACACACATAAACAATGTAAAATACAACTGAATAGAGTATGACAAATATTGACAATAAAGACACAGTGAAGACATGACTTGCTAAAAAATAATAATTATAAATAAACAAATAAATGACACACACACACACAAAAGACATAAGAAAACTGACAAACAACATAAATTTGTGATCCTACCATCAAGAGAATTGTTAAATGACAACATGAGCAAGTATCTGGCCAAGATAGCAATATCATCCCACATCAAATGTTGTTCTAGTGTAAATGTTGGAGAGGTACACGTCTTGTCAATTAACTGAAACAGAGAACACAAACAGATTCTTCATAGCTGCTTTTAGATAAAAATGATTGCTGAAATCATCAAAAAAATAATAATAATAAAATGATCTAAATCATCACTACTCTACATACCACTCTCAAAGAAACTAATAACTATGACAGCTTGTGTGTCAGACACTACCATGTGTTAACTATCACAAATCTTCACTACTCTACATACCACTCTCAAAGGAACTAATAACTATGACAGCTTGTATGTCAGACACTACCATGTGTTAACTATCACAAATCTTCACTACTCTACATACCACACTCAAAGGAAGTAATAACTATGACAGCTTGTGTGTCAGACACTACCACCACTGTGTTAGCTCTTTGAGTCCCAAGCAACGCATCATACGTGCATAGATTCCAACCTAGAAGTCCAATAAATGCAATATGTGCCGATTCTACATCTTTCTTGACTACCTACCACTTGTGCCTCTGATGCCCCCTGGGACTAAAAGAGTTAACTATCATAAATTTTCACTACACAAATCTCTACTATTCCACTGTTAACTATGGTTATATCAGGGTGCCACTTCTCAACAACTTCTTGCATATTCAACCACATGAAGAAAAAATCTTCGATTTCAGCAGTGCTAATCCCTCCAGCTTCCCCCTCTTTCTTCCTGGAAGAAACCTCTTCTGTGCAATTTCTTGCTTCTGCTGCCGGTAAATGTGCTGAAGCTCTTGTGTTGTTAGCTTAGCTGCAAGATTGACATGTGCCTAGGCTGCATTCAATGTCCGAGGCAAAATTTACTTGAAAATTTAGTTCAGATTTTAAGTTACTCAAACTTTGGACGTTCGAAACTCGATGTACTACTGTATTCATGTTGCACATAATGAGAAAATCTATTCCTGTGTGTTGAAGTCTGCTTGGATTTTCTTCAGAATATTCACTGAGTTACTCGATATGCACATTCTTCATTGCCCAGCAAATGTCTTCATTATAGCCATCGTCTCCATCTTGAGGCAGCTAATTGTAAAATTCATCTAGTTCATCATAAACACCCATACACTTCATCTGCCCCAGAGGATTGATCCATCAGCGTAAAGTACAGTTTCATCTACGTCTGTGTCAAGACTGTTGTTACTGCAAACATACAAGACTTAGCACCATATACTCAAACAACCTCAGGACATGAACAAATATTTCTGACTTAATTACTTCATGGACAACAAAAACAACAATCAGTAGTAGTCTTCACAGTGAATAAACATAGTATAAATGGCTCTAGAGTTGTCATAATTAAGTGAAAGCTGTCAGGAATAGCACAGGATGAGAACAGTAACTGAACAAACTGTAAATGTTGGGCATATCCATAGCCACCACACATTGCATCACTTTCCATTGAAGACTGCTCAAAACTGTCTAATAATATGAATGATTAAAGAGGTGCTTGGAAAAAGGAAAAGAAATAAAGTATGGAGAATGCCACAATTCTTTTTTTTTTTTAAACCTCCCAGAAAAGATAGATACAAAAAATTAAAAACAACAGCAAATACACAACTACTGAAATCAGACCCCATGATAAATTTACTAAAGCCAATAATAAAATTAGCAGGCACATAAATGTCAATATTTACAATGCTTAGCAAGAGAGCTAGGGGTGGCAGCGGTGAAGGTAAACAGACCCTGCACGGACTGGAATGTTTAAATGACAATATTTACATGAATTAGCAAGAGAGCTAGTGGTGGCAGCAGTGAAGGTAAACAGACCCTGCACGGACTGGAATGTTTAAATGACAATATTTACATGAATTAGCAAGAGAGCTAGGGGTGGCAGCGGTGAAGGTAAACAGACCCTGCACGGACTGGAATGTTTAAATGACAAAATTTACATGACTTAGCAAGAAAGCTAGGGGTGGCAGCAGTGAAGGTAAACAGACCCTGCACGGACTGGAATGTTTAAATGACAATATTTACATGACTCAGCAAGAGAGCTACGGCTGGCAGCGATGAAAGTAAACAGACCCTGCACGGACTGGAATGTTTAAATGACAATATTTACATGAATTAGCAAGAGAGCTAGTGGTGGCAGCAGTGAAGGTAAACAGACCCTGCACGGACTGGAATGTTTAAATGACAATATTTACATGAATTAGCAAGAGAGCTAGTGGTGGCAGCAGTGAAGGTAAACAGACCCTGCACGGACTGGAATGTTTAAATGACAATATTTACAATACTTAGCAAGAGAGCTAGGGGTGGCAGCAGTGAAGGTAAACAGACCCTGCACGGACTGGAATGTTTAAATGACAATATTTACATGACTTAGCAAGAGAGCTAGTGGTGGCAGCGATGAAGGTAAACAGACCCTGCACGGACTGGAATGTTTAAATGACAATATTTACACGACTTAGCAAGAGAGCTAGTGGTGGCAGCGGTGAAGGTAAACAGACCCTGCACCGACCGATATGTTTAAATGACAATATTTACATGAATTAGCAAGAGAGCTAGTGGTGGCAGCGGTGAAGGTAAACAGACCCTGCACCGACCGATATGTTTAAATGACAATATTTACATGACTTAGCAAGAGAGCTAGTGGTGGCAGCGATGAAGGTAAACAGACCCTGCACCGAATAATATGTTTAAAGTGGAGCAACTTTGCAGATCCAGCTAAAGAAAAAAGGAAGTGTTCAACATCATGAATAGCCAACATTTGTACCCATGCAAACTGCCTGGTATCAAGAAAGGGACCACTTGAGAGTAAAACAGAAAAATTACACAAAAATTCAAATCACACACAGCAAAACTACTTAGGTAGTACCTGGACACATTTATAGATGGGTCAGCAATAAATGCGATGTTTCATGGAAATTCTTTGTTAATCATTTACCAACATGAACAGCTTGCATTAAATCATAAAAAAATATTACCCGACAAAGTCTTCCTATGACTTTACGTGACACCAACAGCACATTAGCAGACGTGAGAGCCACAGCTGTATCTGCCATGATTTCAGCTTGAATAGAGCCCAAGCCCCCAGTTACACTTCTCTGAAAGAATATAGATTTCAATCCATAAATTGTACGGGGCAAAATGCCATATTCTAAGATAGACAGATTGACCTATTTATTTTTGTGGTTCTAGAAACCTGGTAACATTTTCGTTATTACTCTGCCATTATGTAAAATGATGCACTCATTTGAAAACATTGTGAATATTAATAAAATGTTGATTCTTTGCTAATCTAATATTTGCAAATTCTGTTACTTTGTTTATATATAATAAAATTTAAAAAAAATGCAAATTACTTATACAGAATGTGATTCATAAAGAACAATCCATTTAATAAGTCACATCACCAAACTATACTTTTGCATTATGTTTTTCTTGCAAATAATAAAAGAATAATGAATATAATTGTCACTTTCTCATTGCTGATGAACTGTACTGATAAAAAAAGTGCTTATACTTATGACATCTGACAAAGTGAAACACCGAGAAGTTTATGACAGTAGCAGTAAACTCAGTATGCATGGGGAAAATCTCAGGACAAAAAAAAAAAAATACAAATAAGGGAAAGAATCTGCCAATGTATTTGAAGAAGAACAGTGAAATCAAAGCAATTTAACATGTTAGCGAAGGATAAGTTTTATCACCGAATCTTTTCAATATGTGTCTGCTAATAAGTGCCTGCTACTTTTAAATCACACATACAAATTTGCTAAAGGCCTATGTTTAACCTTGTCACATAATAATCTTACAATATACTTACAAACAAATAAACAAAGGAGAAAAAGCACGCAAACAGGAACAATTTGACATTTTAGCAGCAAAATTTATTTTAAAAAAATTAAAAAAAAAACTTTTTGTGGATTTTGTTGATTTAGGCTGCTGCCGTAATGTCTGATTGTTCCTGAGCTTTTTCTCCTTTGTTTTGAAAAAAGAGGTTGCCATGCACAGGTCAACTTCTACTGCAGAATTCCATGTGTCTGTCCATTTTCATTCATGTGACCAACATGATATTTTCCAAGACAAACTGGCCATGAGTTTGAGTCTGGCCCCATGTGAGCATTAAAACCACCAAGTATGCAGATGCCATAAAATTTAGGAATTGCTTTCACTGCATTATCCATCTCCTCATACAAAGAATCCTTTGTGTCCTCCATTGTCTTTATAGAGTGGATGCATATGCAATAACAAGGGTGGTAAAACCGCTTAAGGTAGACAATTGTAGGGATAATAATCTGTCATTTCCCCCAGCTAGTTTTCCGGTTGCATTTCCTCTTCCTAGGATAAGGCTAGTATCCTTCCCAATGGGCTTCTCCGCCCGAAGCTGTTGGCACAATATGGGATGTCAGGTGTAGTATACACCGCCAAACATTCATCGTAACAGAAGACAGGTGGTATCAGCTACTGTTATACAGCAGCTCAGTCACATCTGACCAAGACCTGACAAACAGAATAATAAACAGAAACATAGTTACCTTGATAAAACTGTCCAAAACCATGTCCAATAAATCTCCAATCTGACCAATATTCCCCCATATTTTAGCCTGAATGGAGGGATACATCTCAACTTCTTCTATGGTCATGGTGATAAGCTTGTCTAGAATTAGAGCTACCTTTTGGCGTTTATTTTCATCAGACTGTTTACAGAACCTGGAAACAAATTCAATATATGCCTGTGTGTGTGTTTATATATGTGTGTATATAGCATGCTAGATATATAGCATGCTATATTGTATATAGTCAGTTTCAACAATATCTTGAGACCTCAGAGATGTGGTTTTTTAGAAGAATCCTTAGAATTCCCTGGACAGTCACAAAAAGCAATCCAGATGTTCTGAAAGAGGCAAGTGCTTAAAAACAACTTATCACAAACATCAGAAAGAGACAGACGTAGTTTTTTTGGGTCATATTATGAGAAGCAAGAAAATGAAACATGTGACCACTGGAAAGATCTGTGGAGAGGGAGACAGAGGAAGACAATGTGAGAACATTCTTGCAAGCCTTTTGACATGGCATAG